GTGGGACTGCGTCCCTCTGTTGTCACCCACCGACCTCCTCTCCTTGTGGGGAGAAACTGGGCTGTGTGTCCTGGGGGAGGTGCAGGTTTGGGCGCACAGTGGTGCCCCAAGTTTGGCGCTGGATGTGGGGCTATGTGCCTGCCAGCAGGGTGGGCCTAGCTGGGGGTTGGCGCTGGGGAGGGTCCTGAGACGCCACCTGCCCTGGGGTCTCTCCTGTGGACATCCCTTGGTTTGCTTAGGTGCCATCTGGATGGAGAATTAAGGAGGTGCTTCTGCAGGGTCTCACCACCACATGTTTTTGCCCTTGCCACCTTCCAGCAGGTGCTATGGAGATCCAGGTCCCGGAGGAGCCTGTGGTGGCTCTTTTTGGCCAAGATGCTACCCTGCACTGCTCCTTCTCCCCTGAGGCCAACTTCAGCCTTGATGACCTGAGCCTCATCTGGCAGCTGACAGACACCAAGCGCTTGGTGCACAGCTTCTCTGGTGGCCAGGACCAGCTGGCAGACCAGGGTGGGGGCTATACCAACCGTACAGCTCTCTTCTACGACCAGCTGGCCCAGGGCAATGTCTCACTGCTCCTCCGGCGTGTGGAGATCTCAGATGAGGGTAGCTTCACCTGCTTTGTCCGGGTCCGGGACTACAGCAGCGCAGCCGTGACGTTGCAGGTGGCAGGTGAGAGATGGAGAATTGCGGTGTCTTTGCATGTATCCCCCAAAGAGAAGGGTTCTCCATCATGCTTTGGTCCTTCATGGAGTCTCTTTCTCCCTCCACCCTTGCTGTGTTCTCCCCAAGATTTCAGCACTCTGTTAGAGACTAACCAGCTGCATCTGCCCAAAATATTGTTGGTGGGGGATGCAGTCCCTTCCCTGCCGTGATGGAGAGGCTCTCCATTGAGAGGCCACCTGGAAGTGTGACTGTAAATGAACCAAAGCTGGGGAAGCTTCAGCTGGTTGGTGTTATCAACTGGAAGAGTCTGTCCTGGGGCTTGCCAATCTCATTGGGTTGCTCCAGATCTGGATGCTTTGGTCTTCTCCATTGCCTCATGCCATTTGTCCTCTCCCTTGCAGCTCCCTACTCCAAGCCCAGTATGAACCTGGAGCCCAACAAGGACTTGAAGCCAGGAGATCTGGCAGCCGTGACTTGCCGTGCTTCCCGTGGCTACCCTGAGGCCAGTGTCCTCTGGCAGGATGGCCAGGGTAGCAACATCACGGAAAACGTTACCACGTCCCAGGTGGCCAACGAGGACGGTCTCTTTGATGTGCACAGCGTCCTCCAGGTGCTGGTGGAGCCCAGCAGCACCTACTCCTGCCTGGTGCGAAACCCGGTGCTGCAGCAGGAGACCCAAGCCTCCGTCACCATCACGGGTGAGCCAGCGAGGGCCAAAACTGGGGGAAGGCAGGGATGGGCTCTGTCTCAGGAAGGTGACTGTGATGGCACCAGGATCCCTACTGTGGCCCAGAGCCACCCTAGCTACCCCGTTTCCCCGCTCCACCTCTCTCCCCCTAGCTATAAGGATGACTTGAAGCTGTTCTGTCCTCCCCCATCACCCCACACTGGCGTCCTAGCTAGAACCAGCATCCTAAGTTCTTAGTCTCTAGCTTTTCTAGTTGCCCTGTCCAAGTCTAAACTGTGCCAGAAAGCCAGCACAGGGCATGGTAGTTGCCTTCTCCTTAGCACATGGCCATGGAATGTTCTCAGTTTGGGGTTCTCCATCCCAGCCGCAGCAACCCTAGTTCAGAAATAGAGGCCAGAGGAGTTCCTCAAGCGCGTTCAGCCTTGTGGCTTCACTTTGAGCTCCTTCCACTGCCCTCCTGGAGCTCTTTATAACCTTGTGCGCTCCCTGCTAGCATTAATTAGTGTTTAATTACCTTTGGTACGGCACTTACTGGATTGGGAAGGTGGGTCCCCAGTGGAGCGTAAACTTTTTGGCTGGATGCACCAAACCCTTGCAGGAAAACTTGCGTGGATGCTGCTGGTTGGGAGCAGAGGGGTGGCTTTTGCATTGGCACCCAAGCACATGAGCAAGTGGTCAGCCTTGGGGTGATGTTTGTGGAGGGTCAAGGTTTGGGATAAGACTTTATTTGGTGAAGGAACAATATTATGGGGAAAAAGCAGACTCCCAGCACTCCAGGATATAGCCCCCAAGCCCTGGTGGTCCCTGCCAGGCCATCCTTCCTGGCCCCGTGGTGTGAGATGGGGGGAAAGGGAATGAGTGCAGCATCATCTAATGCTTCTCTTGAGCTTTTTAGCAAGTGAAGGTGCCATTTGAATTTATTGATGCAATCATTTAAAGGTTAATGAAGTATTTCAGGGAAAGACTCAACCCACTGCTTCCCCAGCAGATCCAGACCTGCTGGGGGAGGCCATAATTAGAGGCACCGATGGTTTTACTTCCAAAGCCACCCCTTGTGCCACCGACTCTGTCCATGGGGATGTGCCCCTGCCACCGTGGGGTCCCAAATACCAGGCATGCGTCCCCCTGGTCAGGCAGCAGTGCTCACTGTGGTGGTATTTCTCACTCCCTCCCCTGCAAGGCCAACACCTCGCCTTCCCTGCCGTGGCTCTCTGGCTGACGGTGGGACTCGCCATCTGCGTCGTGGGGCTGCTTGCCGTCTTGGCGTACGTGTGCCAGAAGAAAATCCGCCAGAGCTGTGAGGAAGAGGAGGAAAACGCAGGTAATGTGGTGGCTAACCCCCTGCAAAAGGGATGGGGGTTTGCAGGGGGGTGGTGGGTGGATGGAAGGGGATGGATTGGGGGAGTCAGGGCAAATCTGGCATGGGTTTGCCTTGGTGGTGTCATCTTTTAAAGGATGAAGGGATGCTTGGAGCTGCTGGGGTTGGTGGGTACCAACAGATGGGTACTGGAGAGCCTGTGCTCCAGGTGACTCTTTCCAACATACACCTGATTTTCCTCCCACCCAACGTGTCTCCTCCTTTTACCTTCCTGCTCCAAGCATCCTCTTCACATCTGGTACCCACACTTGGGCGTGCGTGGAGCATCTCCTCTGAGAAGGTGCCTCTAGCACTTGCCACCATGGAAATGCCAAGTGCTTTGGTATGCAGAAATAGCATGAGAGAGATGCTCCATGCTCTTGTTTTCTGCATCCTTCTCCTGTTTGGGTTGGATTTTTTTATTATGGAGAAGTGTTTGCACAAAAAGGGGGGCTTTGTTGCTTTAAAAAAAGCTGCTGCACTCCAAAAATGGCTGCGGAAGCAGCTTTGCTGGCGTTTCCCCATTTGTTTTCTCTCGCTGCCTCCCAAGATGCTTGTGCTGCCAAAGCCTTTCCCTGCCAGCATCACACTGCAGGGCTGGGGCACGCAGCCTTCCTCCCTGGGGGCTCCCTCTTCACTCCTCCTCTCTGATGGGGAGGACGTTGGTGCTGATGCCACCACAATGCCTGGCTGTCAGGTGTCCCCAGCGATGGGGACCAAGAGGGTTTTTCCCCAGCAGATACCAGGGATTGTCTGTAGGAGATATATATCTGTATATAAAACCCCCCCATATTTCTTTTTTTCCCCTCTATAAGAGAGTATTTCTCCTCGGCCAAGGGATTTGCAGTGCCGTGGCGCTCAGCTGTGGCCCTGGGCCAGCTGACCTCTGTCCTTCAGCATCAAGATGCAGCTGCCAGCCCATGATGTTTTGCACTGATGGCTGCACGCCCTTAGCAATAACCTTTTGCTGTGGCTCTCGGTCAGCCACAAACAGGGCAAGGACCCTGCCCGTGAGCCCGGCAGCGGCGGGAGGCAGGAGCAGCAATTTTTGCTGGTCTTTCTGGCCAGGAATAGCATCACAGTAGGTTCTATACATGGGGTGCAAAGCTCCCAGGGCTCCCAGAGCGGGTGACAGCCTGGCAGCCTGGTTGGGTGCTGCAGAAGAGAGAAGGGGATGCTCATCCCTCGGTGCCAACGGGGTGTCCCTGAGGCATTGGGGGATCTGTGGTCTCCCCGCTAAGCCCCTTGCTGAGCGCCACTCCAGATGGTGACTGTGCTATAAATAGGGAGGTGAGTGGCTGCGCTGCATCGCCCAGAGCTGCGGCTCTTTCTGCTTTGCTTGTAGGCAATGTGCCACCCTGACACAGCCTTGTGCTGGGGGAAATATCCCCCGCGGGGTGCTGGAGGGGGTGATGGGTGCACGTGGGTACCAGTCACCTCCTCCCCTAGCATCCCCAGTGGCTCGGTAGTGCCTGGTCCCCAGCAGAGCCCAGGATATGGTGATTGTGGGCAGCTCCAAGGGGCAGCCCCCAAGCCCGGCTGCCTGGGAAAGTGGGGTTCAGGGCGTTGTGCTGGGGGGAAGCCTAGCAGAAGCTGGAGCTTGCTCTTTTGCAGGGACGGAGGAGCAGGACGAGGAAGGGGAAGAACCCAAGACAGGTGGGTGCATGATGCTGGCCTGTTACATATGTGTGTGCTCGTGCCACAAGCAAACACCCCAGTGTGCTTTGCACCCTCCATCAGTGCTCAGCACCCCCCATGCTCGCCCGCTCTTTGACGTACACCCTCAGGCTGGCAACTCCCTGATAAGCCATTCTATCTCTTAATATAAAAGCACTCATGGTGTTCTACTGTCATCAAACAGGTTAATTATGTGCCAGTGATTGCCTTTATCTGCTGGCACAGGAGCAAGCCCACTTGGGATGCCAGCTCCTTCACTGCCGGGGAGATTTAGGGACCAGGGGTTGGTTTGAAATGGAAATTGGTGGGTGCAGTTATTGGAGTGGGTTCCCCAAAATGGGGAGCTTATCTGTTTCCTCCGGGGAGCTGTTTCCTCCCTTGCAAGCTCCCTCCCATCCCGTCCCACATGGTGGGGTCTGACCGTGTGCTGTTTTGCTTTTTGCAGCCCTGCAGCCACTGAAGAGCGCAGAGAGCAAGGATGGTGAGTGTGTTGCCTAGGACCACAGGCTGGCTCCTGATACAGGTTTCTTGCTAAGCACACTGGAGATGATGCTTAGATCAAAGTGTAAAGCATCTATTGCATCTCCATCACCCGTTGCTGTTTTGGGGTTTTTTTCCATTTTTTTCCCCTTTCCCCCCCCCCCCCCCAGTTTTCAATCAAATTTTCCCAGATCAATTATTTCCCAGCACCCATTTCCACTCCGTTCTGGGCAGCACTTGCTCTGGCTGCTGCTCATGTCTCCCAGCAGTGATGGAGCGATGTGGCTGGCGGCTCCAGTGTGATGTTTCTTCTTATCCTTCCTTTTCTTGGGTAGCCAGAGGCTGAGAAAAGCCGCCTGCCGCCAACCGGGGTTGTTGCAAGGAATTTGGGTCTTTTTTGAGCGTTGCCGTATGTTTGCTAAGAGGAGGGGAATTGCTGGGGTTCATCCTTGCCTTGCTGGGGTTCATCCTTGCCTTGCGGAGAGGGAGGCGTGAGCTTTGTCCCTTCCCGTGCAGAATTCCCCAGCAGCAGCCTGATGCTAAATTTCTACTGGAAATTCATGAAAATGGGAGTCCCAGCTCCTGTTTCTGCCTTTCAGTATCTTCTCCCAACCTCCTGGCTCGGTGCTGCTGACAGCCCATCACCCATCCCGGCCTGGTGCTGGGCTCCCCCCCTTCCCATGCCTGGTCAGC